TCTAGAGAGGTTCTTTCTGGGCTGTAAGATTTGTTCTGTTTTGGTGAAAATTGAGACTTTCCTAGGGCTGAAAACATATAGTAATAGGTTAAGGAATGTTTTCTTTTTTTAAAAAAATTGATAATTTCATAGATTTTATGTGAGAAAAAGAGACAATCAAATTTAGATATAATTTCCTTTCAGATCAATATTTTTAAATAAATAGAAGTCAGACAACTAACAGTTAAATCAAGGTGTTAATTGTACTTAGTGAATTTGACAAACTATCAACATCATGAAATTGCCCCGTCTCAATTATGACTAATTTTAAACAATTCTCCTCTTTCCCTCTTTAAGATCTTCTATCTAGAAGAGTATTTCCTATATGAAACCCCTCAACAATGTCAACAGATACAGTGATTAGATGGTATGAGATTCTGAAATGACACAATATAAAATATTAATAAAGTTTGCAATAAGGTGTTTCCTCAAATTAAAAATTTCATCAAATTATCACAGTCTCCAGGCACCAGGCTGCCTTGGTCAGTAGACCATGCGACTCTTGATCTCGGGTTTGTGAGTTCAAGCCCCATGTCGGGTGTGGAGCCTACTTAAGAAAAAATTATCACAATCTCAAATTTCCAACTGCCTCTATAATTGCCACATGGCGGCACCACTTCAGCTAGTAAACAGACTTCTGCCATTCCTTGTCAGCACTGGTCTCTAATTGTGCGGGGTCTTCAGGAACACATTCCACAAAGAAAATACATCTGTTCACTGCCAGGGTAGTGGGGCTTGTTTTCTCCCAACACCACCCCTCCCCCATGTTTTTGCTAATACAGTGTATTCTTATAAAGTCTCTTTACCCACTGAACTTTGAGTTTTTCATTGAATTTTTTTGGCTTCTCAATAGAAAAGATTAATTAAAAATCACTTGAGAGCATAAAGAGACTCTGTATTAGCTTTGGAATTTCTTTCATAGACTTTGAGAACCAGAGAAACCTCTGAGCTAACCGTCTAACTCCAATACATTAACACATCAAGAAAATGAGTTATAAAGTAACCAGGTTAAGATAATGTATGGAGGTGAGGGCAGAGTGGGATTTAGTTCTTTCTTCTGAGCCAAGCTTCTTCTGGATGTGAAGTGCTAATCACACTTGAAGGACTGAGTACTTAAGGACACTTAAGTTTTAACTCTCATACAAATCAGAGTGAAAGAAAAAAAAAGCAGTTCTGGTGTCAGCAAAGAGTAAAGACTCTGGGCCAGGACATTTACTGAAGATAGTTCATTTTGATTATTTGCAGGACCAAGGGGTAGATTTAATTAAGCATAACTTCTGCTGGCCTTGTGTATATTAAATGTTCACACTTTTATAAGTCCTTAAATCAAATATGGCTACAAAATGACTTTAAAGACATTTGTTAGCTAAAGAAATAACCATAAAATTCTCCCAGCAATAAATGTATTTCTGAGAGAAGTGTCAGGCACTTTGAAAAGTCTCATCCCACTAAATGGCCCTAGCATTTAGCAAAGTCAAAACTATCTCCAATTTAGTGACTGACAACACTGAAGGCAACTTCTTTATGGAAAATTAGTGAGTCATCCCTTTAATATTTTTGTCACCTACACAATCTGAACTTTTGCCTTTTTTTTTCTTGGTTTGAGGGTAGAATGGACATTCTCTAGAAAAAAAATATTAAAAAAAACTATTCACAGAGTACTTGCTTTTCAGGGGAAGGGTGTTATATACCTTCAGAAATTAAAAAAAGACTTACTGGGGCCCTTTTGTAACACTGATACAAGAGTAAGAAATATTTACCCACCTGACCTGATACTGAGTTTATTGGATAAAGTTACATTTTAAGGGAATCAGTATTTTAGTAAGCTGTGTGCACTCTGTGTTAATAAGCTTGGGTCTGTTCGACTTGGATTTCAGAAAAAAAAATCCATCTACTAATTTAATCACAGGCAGTAGTGACTTTACTACTTGGTAAACATATACTTAAATTCCCAAATATTTGAGAGTTGCCTTATAATTTTCAGAAGTACATATACACTTCAGTAAAATACAAATAAGATTTAAAAAGTCTTTCGTCTTTGAATATTTTCTTGACTAATATCATTTTAGAGAAAGGTCTTAGAGATTCCTTAGTGGATGAACTCTTCATTTAGGCAGTGATTCTAAAACTTCTCAGGGGTTCCAGGCCCCTCTTGATAATCATAGTGAGTTAAATCCATGGATTTTAGGTCAATAATCCTGACTTGCCAGATTAGCCCCCTGCGGTCAGGGAAGTCTGGTGGCCTCCTAAGAGTCACACAGTGCTTTTTGCCTGCCTGTACTATATTTCCTGATTCTGTCAAAACAAACTAACAAATCCCAACTCCTCAACTCTTAAAATGCATACAGCCAAATACATATGGACAGCAAGAGCATGGAGATTTAAAAACAGAGCAGAAAAAAGTAACTTGAACAGAATGTGGCATTTCCCTTGGTCTGTTGCTAACGGCCCACATACAACATGCTTAAAAAAAAAAAAAATCCCACCCTGGCACATCTTTTCATCATTTAAAGAGGATTCAAATGGACCTTTAGAATGTATGGCATTGGGAATATATCCCATCTGGGGATAAATAGAAAAGAGCTTCATTGAGCAGGGCTGTTTTCAGTGGTTGTCAGGCTAAAGTTGATGTGTATTTCATCTCTTGTGTTTGGTCATGCTTTTAAAGCCAAACACAATATTTTAGTTGTACATTTTCAGGATGTGTACAAAGCCAGGAGCATTTAACATTCCTTTTTGTAAGAAAAATAATTATGGGACATGATTTTTAAAATGCATTCAGGATTTGAAGATGTGAAAGAAACACGTAAAAAGGAATTACTTCTTTTTATTCTTTATTTTCTATTTATTTTTCATTTTTTTTATTGGCTCTGAAGTCCATTATACTTTGTTTTATTAAAAACTGGAGACTCCTGCCTCTTAGTTGTTAGCTTTGGGGTGGCTGCTTTCTGAATATTATTCCAATTCAAGTTCTTCACACAAATCCTAAGGCTTGCATATCCCATATACTCATACACACTCTACACTGTAAAACTTCAATAAACTTATAAGTCCATAACCAGCCAACAGTCTGTGAACCTGTTTGGATGCTCCTGCTATCAGCAAAACTTCCTCTTGATAACTGTTCTAAAAAAAGTTTAAACGATTTTCCTGATAACACTAAAAACTGCAAAAAAGCAATTGTGGCTGGGTGAAGTGAAAAACTGGTCAATCATGGAATATATTTGTTCACTGTTCTAGTGAGTCCCCAGTGATGGGGCTCAGATCCCCAGCTTCTCTCAGTCTCAAGTTTTTGGTCCTGGATGTAGGCATTCGATTTTAATCATTTCCCCAATCTATAAATAGCAATTATTCATTGGGGGAAAGTGCTTCTTTTATTTAGCCTTTCCTACTGGGAGATTCTAATGCTTCATTGCTAACTCGTATTTTCATACTGAACACCTGGACTCATCACAACAGTATAATATATGTAGTCAGGCTTTGGAGAATTTGTTTCAATTTACATACAATCCTCCAAATCCTCTGGCGAGCCTGATGTCTCCGCACCAGGATCTTCCTTTGCTCTCGATGTTAACAGCCAAAGGCTCCAAGGATCCCTCCCGAGAGGCGCGGTGAGGCTAAGGAGTCGGGGGAAAAAGGGAGACTGCCGGGCTGGCTGCGCTGAAGATTTACAATGTACTTCTTGCAGGCGGCTCAGCAACCCCCTCTGTGGCAGTGGGTGTCTGGTGTGACAGAGCGGAGAAAAGCTCTCTAATCTCCCAGTGCCTGCCTCTGCCGCTCAGCCGCTCCCCTCCCTCCCGCCTTCCCTGCCTCCTCGCGGTCTCTCGCTCTCTCCTTTGCCTTTCTCGGGGAGTTTCAGTCCCTGAATGCAGTCAGAGTAGCCTTGGCAATCTGGACCCGGAGACTGTGTGTACAGACACAGGCACACAAGCACACACACATGCACACACACTCGCACTCGCACACACGCACTCCGGCTCTCCCCACGGGGATACAGAGCAAACCCGGAGCATCAGCTACCTGAAGGGGATGGCCCGACCGAACACTTCTTGCTCACTTGTCATCCCCGGAGGTCAGAGCAACGTCGGAACGAGGGAAGCTCGCTGTCCGGTCTGCAACCTCACGCCGTTTGCCGCCCCCGCTGCTTAAAGTGTCCGGGGTGGAAGAGACGGCTTCTTCAGGGCAGATTCCCGGCGCAGCTCTGCGGCCCTGGGACTTCGCCCGCCGGCTTCACCCCGCTGTCTTCTTCCCCGGCCATCCTCTCGCCCCCGGCTGCGGAGTGCATGGCTCGGGCGCCTCCGCTGCTGCTGCCGCTGCCGCTGCCGCTGCGAGCACATCCCACCCAGAGGACTGAACGCCACCGCTGGAGTGGGGAGAGAAAGCGGAAGCCCTAACTTCCCTCTCCACCGCTCCGCGTTCTTTCTAGCCGAGGACCCGCTGGAAGGCTCCCGCGGAAAACCTGGCGAGAGCCGAGAGCAGGGGAGGGCGAGCCGGTAGCCGCAGGCGCACGGCGGCGGAGGCAGCATGTGCCCCGGCGCCTCGCGCCGGCCGGAGAAGTAGCGCGCGGTGGGGCGAGCGAGACGCTTCCTAAGTTGGGTGCGTCCCAGACCTCGCCGCCCGGCGCCACGGCCGCCAGTGTCCGGAGAAAGGCGGGGCTGATGGGGGGCGCCGAGGTTGCCGTCGCCTGCGGCCAGAACCCGTCTTAAAAGAACCTGGGCCGGCGTCTCCAGGGTCCCAGCTGGCGTCGCGCCCTCGGCCCGCGTGCGCTCTCTGATGCTTGCGCCGGCGGTGGCCCGGGTGGCCCGCCCGCGGGGGGTGCCGGAGGGGGCGGGGGAGGAGGAGGAGGCTGTGTGATGGCCCTGGACGGCGAGCGGGGGGAGCAAGAGGAGGAGAAGAAAAAGAAGAAGAAGAAAAAGAAGAGGAAGAAGAAGAAGGAGGAGGGGGCTGAGAAGAGCAGCTCACCCTTCGCGGCCACCATGGGGGAGAACGACGCCGCGCTACGGGCCGGCGGCAGGGGGCTCTCGGACCCGTGGACGGACTCCGTGGGGGTGCGACCCCGCACAACCGAGCGCCACATCACGGTGCACAAGCGGCTCGTGCTGGCCTTCGCGGTGTCCATCGTGGCACTGCTCGCGGTCACCATGCTCGCGGTGTTGCTCAGCTTGCGCTTCGACGAGTGCGGAGCTAGCGCAGCCCCGGGCGCCGACGGCGGTCTCGCCGGCTTCCCGGCACGCGGGGGCAACGGGAGCCTTCCGGGTTCCGCCCGGCGCAACCACCAGGCTGGCGGGGACTCCTCGAAGCCCGAGGTAGGCGGAGAGGCCACCCCTGGGACCCCGTCCGCCCAGCCGCCGTCGGAGGAGGAGCGGGAGCAGTGGCAGCCGTGGACGCAGCTGCGCCTGTCCGGCCACCTCAAGCCGCTGCACTACAACCTAATGCTCACCGCCTTCATGGAGAACTTCACCTTCTCCGGCGAGGTCAATGTGGAGATCGCGTGCCGGAACGCCACCCGCTACGTCGTGCTGCACGCCTCCCGGGTGGCGGTTGAGAAGGTGCAGGTGGCCGAGGACCGGGTGGCTGGTGCTGTCCCGGTGGCCGGTTTTTTCCTCTACCCGCAAACCCAGGTCTTGGTGGTGGTGCTGAATAGGACTCTGGACGCGCAGAGGAATTACAACCTGAAGATCATCTACAACGCCCTGATCGAGAACGAGCTCTTGGGCTTCTTCCGCAGCTCCTACGTGCTCCACGGGGAGAGAAGGTAGGGAGGGAGGCGGTGCCCGGCACCGCCCCACCCAGCCAGGCTGCTCGAAAGGCTGGGCGGCCGGCGACCCGGGGGACCGGGTTGGCTTCCGAGACCGAAAAGCGCGGGGTGGGTGAAGGAAGCGAAGGTGGGGTAGGGTCGTCACCCAGAACCCCTGGGGTCTCCCAGATGCCCGGGCTTTCACTGCTGCCGACTCCACACAGTCACCAGCACCAAACGTTGAGTGCCACCCCCTCCTCTAGTCTGGAACTCCCTCCTGTCAAAGTTCCTTAGCCAGCATGGCGCCTAAAAATTTTTAAAGGGTAGTGTGAAATCTGAGCGATGCCAGGGTGACATCGAAAGCCTGCCAAGATACCGTCGAGGGAAAATACTCGCAGGGTCAAAGGCCAGGCCTGTAGCGCATCCAGGTGAGATGGCAGTGCAGGGCAAAATCCTTCCCTCCCCCTCAGCATGCCCACCTCGCCTGTTATCTGGCAGGCACAGAGCAGACAGTGAGCTTTGGCTGCATGAAGTTTTCCAAAACTGCAAGTTGAGATTCGGAGCAGTAAGAGTAGGTCCAGGTGACAGACTCGGGGAGGGCGACAGGGGTCTGGGGGAGGCTGCTATGGTCAATGCCAATAAGAAATGTCCTTGCAGGTGCTGCCAGGTCTCTCAACACAGACACAGAGTGACTTTAGTTTTTTGTTGTTGTTCTTGAATTACTGCCTCTGGAAATGACTCCAGTGGTACCAAGAGGGAAAGCTACCCACCAGTCTCCAATGCCTTGTTAATGAGTGCCTTTGATGCTTTTTAGATTTGGGCAGTATTTTATTTTTTTCTGAGAGGCTGTGGGGTTTTTCACAACTTGTTTAGACCTCAGATTTCAGAGTCAAACAGAAGTGGGTTCGAATCCCAGATGCGGAGCTAGCTGTGGTGAAGGCTGGAAGACACTGACGAATCTGTCACCAGCTCCTGACAATGGCTATCTCTAGTGCTTATCCAGCCAAATATATTAACTTAGTCCCACAAGACACTTCCTATCTTACAGGTAGGGAAATGGAGGCACAGAGAAGTCAAGTAATTCATCACATAATGAGCTGACAAAGCAGGGATTTAGACCCAGGCAATTTGGCTCTGGAGCCCATATGCTTACTTTTAACTTGGGGACAATAATAAGTACTGTCTTCATAGGGATTGTTGCAGGTGTCCATGAGCAAATGCATTGAAAAGCACTTAAACTATACAGGGCATATAGAGTGTCCACTATACATATGAGCTATTTTGTGCCTCCTGGGGTAGTCAGCACTCAAGCGTATTACTGAATGAATAAACAAGTGATTTTTGCTTTTTGTCCTAATTCATTGCATTTAAAACAACTTTGATTAATTAAATGATGATAGGGCCAGCAAACAACCGAAATGACCTTAAAAAAGAAATTGACAACCTTAGAAGTAGAGGCAGGTTGGAGATTAGCAATGATACCCCTGGATCTTCTGTCCTCAAATGATTTTCACAACAGCAGAAAACTGGGGCTCAGAGCAGCCCCAGGTGCCTGAGATCAGCAGGTTTGTCAGTGGAGAAGTGAGGCTTGAACTTTGGTTTTCTGATGGACCGGGGCTTATGGTGGCTGGAAACTCCCAGAAGTTGTTATTGTACAGGAGGCTGAAATGTCAGTGTGTTATGGGAGAACACAAAAGTTTTATTATTTATATATTGCTATGAAGCAACCTCAGATAAATTCTCTAATGCTTTAGTAGTTGTGTGATAGTTAAAGCCTCCTACAAGTGAATGTATAAATTATTCACTTTCAAACTACTAAGATCAGGTGTGGATAATCTAAACCCTCTTATACCACTTCCTTCAACATATTCTAAACAATACAGAATAAATACATTTTTAAAACCCACCATCATATCAAATATGGGGGGAAAATGCAGAGAAGGCAAATTTGCATGTTGTGTTTGGAACAAGCTTATGTCAAAATGTCAACAGTGGGAGTGCATATCACTGATAAATCTTGCTCTGGTGAAATAAATACTTCCAACAAATCCTGTTTTTTGAGCCATGCCAAAATATGTTTGTTGGAACTGAGCTTGTTTTGGTCAGTATATTCAAATTAGCAGGACTCTTAAAAAGACCAGATGTTTCAGCTTGACCCGTAATTGTTTTCTTGTACCCCTAGTGCATATTTGTGTTTAAACTCTCTCCTTCAGTTTTCTCCCAAAAATGTAAATGACTTGGTTGAAAGTTTAACCTAGAGCACATGTGGCTGTATTCTGCATCCCAATAGAAAATCTGGATTCAATATTTCTGGAGCTCTCAGGTTTTTGTTTCTAAACAGCATCTGAGAGAAAGTCCTTCTTCTCTTCTTTTTTTTTTTTTTCCTTCAATACCAGAGTGAATATGATAATTTCTTGAGTGTGTTTCTAACTAGAGTTCATATGGCAAAGGAAATCTCTGTTCACAATTATGTGAACATTACATTTATTAAGTCTTTTTTTTTTTTTTTTTGATTGTTGTTGTTACCATGGCTACTTGGAGAATTTTTAAAACATACCAATGTCAGGAACTCAGTCAGGTTTGGACTTTGATTGGTGATGATTTCGTCCCCCAAATGCTCTGTAATTTGATATTTTTAAACACTTTCAAAGAGGACATAGATGTAAATTCTAAATTTTCATTTGATTAATGATAAAACATCATGGTCTTTAGTTAGTTGTAGTTTTTGCCAAGTTAATTATTGGATAATCTTTGCAATAAAATAGGTATTTATTCTGCCAATGGGGAGTCAGAGAGAGCAACTGCAAGTATTTAAAAGAGCAGTGCTGCAATTGAGTCCACCCTATTTAGCCTATATGGAGACATTAATACCCAGGAGTCAATGTGATTCTTTGGTTCACTTCTTGGAAGTCTGAGAAAAAGAATTTGGGTGAGGGCAGAAAAATTAGATCTCACTATTGCTACATGCCTATGACCCTTGGAAGGTTTTATCCCCCGCAAGGTATTGAATGGGACCTGGTTTTATCCTACATGAAACACTTACCTTTCCTGGTTCTTATACCGCACTGGAGAAAGGTAGAGGACAGAAGGATAGACTCTACCTTGAAACCCAAGGCTCCTCTGCTTTCAGTTGATAATTCGGATAATGAGAAATTCACCACTTGTTGAATATTGCAAATACATAAATTCTCTTGAATTTGAAATGTTTATACACAGCGGTAAATTATCTTCATTAGGCGGAGCACATACTCATTTTTTCCTCAAGTTGGTGCATAGCAGGCAGATAAAAAGGGTGTGTATTTATGTCAGATTATCCTATAGTAGAATATACTTGTTTAGAATTAGGTATATGTTCATTTACCTGAAGTAATTGCTGCTTTCGGGTAGCCAGATGGCAAGCATACCCATGTTCAAAGTAGGGTACCTTAATTTAGAACCAGATGGTTGGATCGAAAGAGGAAATTTACTCAAAGTAAATGAATGTTTTATCCATTTTCAAATGGAAGACTCTTTTTTTTTTGACAAACTTTGATTGGGGCTATAACATGCCACAGTTACAGAAGACAAATTAAAAATGGGTGGTCTTCTTCTGTAAAGGATTATTTTAAAGAGAAATCATGATCTCCACATAAAATGGAAAAATAAGGTTGTGGTTCTCAAGGAGAACTGCAAAAAACTCTCTCTTTTATGGATAGGCATTTGATCTTCTGTGGTATTAGTGTACATGATTTGATGCCTCGTACTTTCCCGGACTGAATTAATAATCATGATATTTAATAAAAACTAGAAAACCACCACATGGCTTTTATATTGAAAGCAGCCTCATTTCTGTTGTTCATTCCGGAGAGGAGATATCTTTATATGAGCAAGTTAGAGTTTATGTCTTTTTGCTCCTCTATACAAGGCTCTGAACTGAAAAATCTGTAAGAACCAGTTGTTTCTCTGAAAACTTTTTTATAGAATTCCTTAATGGACTTAGGTCATTGTTTTCCTGTCAGGCACACATAACCATATGGCCTAACAGAGTCCCAAGCTGGATTTTGGTCATAATTCAGAATGCCATCAGTAAACCAAATCTAGAAAATATTTTTAAAAAGCTTTGATCAGAGGCACCTGAGTGGCTCAGTCTGATAAGCACCTGACTTCAGCTCAGGTCATGATCCCAGGGTTCTGGGATGGGGTCTTGTGTTGAGGGCCCTGCGCAGCAGGAAGCTTGCTTCTCCCTCTCCCACTACCCCTGCCAGATTCCCTCTCCTGATGTTTCTTTCTCTCTGTCAAATAAGTAAATTAAAAAAAAAAAAAGCTTTGATCAGTTAATAATGAATAGTGACTCATTTAGATAGGAAAATCTATACAATTGGTGTTTGTCCTGCGTGCTTTTCATGGTGCCATCTGATTTGATTACCCTGGATAGTAATACAATATATACTTCCTCTCAAAGAGTTAAATTAGTTTGCCTGTGTTTTTATGTGTGCAACGTACTCTAAATTCTAAATAGGGCCTATCTGCTCTAGATCTGTTTTTTTTTTTATTTTATTTATTCATTTGACAGACAGAGATCACAAGCAGGCAGAGAGAGAGGAAGGGAAGCAGGCTCCCTGCTGAGCCGAGAGCTCGATGTGGGGCTTGATCCCAGGACCCTGAGATCATGACCTGAGCTGAAGGCAAAGGCTTTAACCCACTGAGCCACCCAGGCACCCTCTAGATCTGTTTCAAACAAAGGTGGACCTGTGACTGGTTCTCTGGTATTTGTTTGGTTTGCAAAGCATGTTTATTTCCTCAAACCAGTTCTCCCCACTGGGTATGGTGATGGGCTGGAGGCCGTTTGTTGAGGATGGGGACATTTGTCCATGTGATGACAAGAATAACACTCACTTCTTTAAGCACAGCTTCAAGAATGATATAAAAGGAGCAAAGAAGAAATGATTGATCTTTAATACATCCTTTTGTAAGGAAGGGTGTTCCTCTTCACCCCCTGCTCATTCTTCCACCTGTCATCATCATTGTCAAAATTGCCC